TTTTACTGGCAGTAAAAGGAAATTGGGTAGCAATTATTTAAAAGGAGTTGGAGTCGTTTAAATCTAAAATTTAGTGGTATGTGTATATTTTAAGAAAAAGCTTACAAGGCTTAGGGGTTGGAGTTGAACTATTTTTGACAAAAATGACATGGAAAATATTTTCCTGTCTCATTTTGAACCTTCCCCTTTGCTGTTTGTTTTCTAAATTTAGCAGTTCGAGAAGAAATAAGCAAATCTAGCTGGGAAAAAAACTGAAGTAAGTTAGGCGAGTCTCAAAGTTTCATCGATGTGATGGACTGAAAACTCCCCAAGATGGGACGTAGTTCTTCCCACTTTATAGAACACAATCCTTATTTCATCTTAAACAGCTTCAGATGTAATGGACCTTATTGGACACGGAAGTGTGAGATTTGATATTCCCTTAAAGGACAAAGACCGGGGAGGGAAGTGGCTGCCTAGACTTCAGCCAAGAGCGGTCTGTAGGGAGCTGGAAGGATGTGGGCGGCTCGTCAGGCTGTCACTCACAAGCTCCCGGCACTCAGTCCTCACCATGGCAACGCCAGGGCTTCTTAAGCATGGTCCAGATGGAACCCCCACCCCAAAGTCTGAACACAGCCCTGTGTGCTGGGGAATGCTGGGAATGCCCGGCCCAGCCCTAGACACCTGCCACTGGGCTGAATGCCAGAGACCAGCCTGGTGTCTTGGAACGGATTGCTGTCATCTACACTGTAGCGTTGCTAGCAGTGACTCGCTTGGTGGGTTTTACACTTGATTTTGTTTCTTGCTCTTGGAGAAGAGTGGATCGAAGGACTGCTCTGTGAGCCTTTGGTTCCTAGAGCAGAACACGTGGTTCAAACTAGTTGAAGGAGAAGAACAAAGGAAACAAAGCAAGAAAGGGATGACTGACTGAAAGAGTTTTCTTTCTGTCTCTTGGTTCTCATTGTTTCTGCCTGGTTTGATTCTTCAGACAAGATTTTCCCACGTGAGGGGCAAGGCTCTGGATTAGCAGAGCTGATGAAAAGCACTCACTATGTAGAAAACTCTGGAGGTAGTAGCTACCTGGGAGGCTGAGGCAGGAAGATTGAGAGCTTGAGTGTAACCTGATCAATTTAGTGAAATCCTGTTTCAAAATAAAAACATTGGACATTGTGGTGCATTCCTGTAACAGTATTACAGAGGTGGAGGCAGGAGAATTGCTATGAGTTTGAGGCCAGACTGGGCTATATAGTAAGTTAAAGCCTGAACTCCATGTCAAAATCTTGTTTCAAAAAACCAACCCACCAAACAAAATTAAAAGTTTTTAAAGGCGTTAGCAATGTATCTTAGTAGTCCAATCAGTGCCCAGCATAAGTGAGGCCCTGAATTCAAACCATAGAACTAAAAACAAAACAACAACAGCAATTTAAAAAAAAAAAAAACCTCTAATTATGATCAGCCCAAATTGAAGCAAGTGGCCATCCTGGGCCAGGCACAGTGGTCAGGTTGACCTAATTCCAGTCTGGTGCTCATTTGAGAATGCTTGTGACTCAGTGGGACAAGGACAGTGAATGACACCTTTGCAGGAGCACATGATAGGGAAGAAGATCCCCAAAGCAGTCCAGAGCTTCCCCCAGCCCCTTCTTGGGCCCCTGCAGTCCCAAGTGTAGGAGTGTTCGGCTAAGAGAGGAAGCGGGGGCAGGGAGGCTTGGAGTCGTGGTCACTTGCCACTCCTGTGTCCACCGGCCATCCTCTTTGAGGGCTTATGGTCACTCAGCAACTGCTGTGGGCTTTGAGATCCAGCATGAAACAAACGTGCAATCCCTGCTCTGGTGAAACTTACTTTCTTGTGGCAAGAAGTGGCCAAAAATAAATAAAATATATTTAGGACATCAGCTGCGGGTAAGCATCACAGGGCAGGACAGGGAAGGCAAAGGCCACTTTGGGGCACAGTTTTTACACGGGGTTGGGTGGGGGCCCACAGAGGTTGTGAGGAGGCAAAGGAGAGAGCCAGGCGGGTACCTGGGAGAAGTGGGAAGGAAGACCCGAGGGTTCTGCTCTGTGGGGGAGGGAGAGGTCACCCCACGACCTGTGATGTGTTGTTGGAAGATCCCATTTGTTTGCTTTCACTTTTTCTCCAATTGAAAGTGCTAGTTTGAATGTAGGGACAACACTGAGACTTTCATTCATTCATTCATCTATTCCTTTGTTCAGTACCTCTGCACCAGGTGCACATCCCACCAGCTAGTAGAGGAGGAGAACACAGCTCAGTGCCAGGTGACAGATGTCCCAGCCTGAGACAAGAATCCCACAGACAGCCTGTGGTCCCTCACCCGCTCCAGAGAGGGCTGGGAGTCCAGGATCTCAGTCTCCTGCTGCTCGGTTAAAGCCCCTTGTGACCCTACTGCATTCACTCCCTCTTTCCCACTGTGCTTAGTAAGCAGCGTGTGGGAAGAGATGTCCCCCGTCAGAAGAGGACAGAAGGAGAACGGTGTTCCCGGTTGCTGGTCTGGGGTCACTGCCCTTTCTGGGGTTGAGAAGGGGTGAGGGTCCACATCAGATCACCAGGTGTCAAATTCTAAGCTTGGGTGGAGGTTTCTACTTCATGACCCTGCATGGCCATGCCTGGCATGGGATGGGCAGGAGAGGGACTAGATTTCTAGGCTCCACTTCTGAAAGCCACTCTGCTTTTTATTTACTTCCATATCCCCCGGGGTCATGGCATTAGCACGAGCCAGGTCCCATCCTTCCTCGGTCCCTCTCCCACTTGGCTGGTCAGGCCCAACTGATGTTTCAGCTCCAAATCTGTGCAGCTGCAGAGTCCAGGTGGAAGGAGAGAAGGCTTCGGGACAGAGTGGACCTGGAGTCTCCATGACAGCTTCTCCACCAGGAGAAAGGTCTCAGTCCAGCCCTGATTCACCCAGAGCAGGCTTGGCCACTCAGAAGCTGTGCTTAAGGGAGGGAACACTAGACTTTTCCTGAGAGCATCTTTTAGGGTGTCTAACTCAGTTTCTGAGGCCATCGGGAGCTTCTCTAGAGAGCACAAACTGAGCAGAGATTCTTGCACAACCGTCCCTGCAGCCTGGAGCTCTGAGTGAGGTACTGGAAGGCTGCAGGCTGAGGGACCATCTCAGAAGGATCCTTCCCACTTCCCGGCACGCAGGTCATGCTCAGTGGAGCTCTGTGCAAGGAAGGAAGGAAGGAAGGGAGAGAGAAAGGGAGGGAGGAGGGAGGGAGGAAGGAATTCTTAGGTGACCTTGGACCCGCCCAAGGCCTGGCAGATGGACGGCTCTGTCAGTGTTGACTGGGCAGCAGGTGAGTGCGGGATGAGAACTCAGAGGTTTCCTGAGCCCAGAGAGTGGTCCTAAGTCCTAAAGAAATAGACATGGCTGTTTCCCACAGTTGGCTTAAGGGATGATGGAGTGAGGTACTCTTCCTTCAGGAGCTTCAAAAATTCACTCCTCTGTAGTTTTTTGACTTTAGCTCCTTAGCTATCAGCTTGAGGCTTCTTTCAATTCCCTGACCCAGAGCTGAGGCAGTGACAGATGGGAAGAACGCAGAGGACCTTGCCTTGTCCCTTCCCACCGCAGCGTGGGATGGGACAGCGTGGATCCTTGTAACAATCCAAGGCTCAAGCCAGAACATCTGTCTTCCCCTTTCTCTCCCTCCTTTCCTTCTTATCTTTCCTGAAATGGATTTTGAGTTCATGAGGGGTCCTGGCCACATCTGTTCAGTCTCTGGCATGGCACCAACTCAGAATATTACAGCGCAGGGCCACAGCTGGGTCACTGTCTGATCATACACACCTGGAGCATCTGTGTCTAGCATGGAGCCTGGCCCAAGGGACATAAGAGATTTCCCTTCTTGGCTGTGCCCTCAGGGAGCTCCCAACAGACACCTATGACAGAGGCCACCAGGAAAGGTGACAGCACCATAGAGTGGCAGCGTGTAGGAGACAGGAGCTCCCTGGACCTCGGCATTCCTGTCCAGGGAGTTGGGTTGAGGCACTTAGGGAAACATGGGGCTTTGAGCAGCTAGTGAGGCTCCACAGGGTCATCTCACACAGCAGTCCCCTCCCCAGGTCCTGCTGGCACCGTCCCTGTAAGATTAGTCCTGTGACTGAGTGCTCATACTTGGGTTCTGTGGGTGGACAATTCTCACACTCCTTCCTGCTCTCTCTGGAGGCCTAGGGATGCTGGTTACTGGAGGAGGAGTTGGGGTCAGGATCCACTCATAGGTGATTATATTTCATGGCACCCTTGGGGACCTCTGTCCAGCAGTCTGGTCCAAGCAATAAGCTGTCAGAATGCATGCATGCATCCATTTATCTCCAACGTGTCCTTCCCTCATGTCTCTCGCCGGGAACTCTGGGAACACAGCCCAGGCTGTGGCTAAGGAGAGAGAGCCTGAGTCGAGGTGTGTGTCATCCATCACACCAGCACTTAGCAGCAGGAGGCTTGGGAGATCTGATGTGAGCCCACTTTAGCAGCAGGCAAAAGCCAGGGAGAAGCTGTCTCACTTGGCACTGGGTCTGGTGGCTCTGGCATTATAGCTTGCCTGTCCTTGCAGCAGCTGGGCCGAGCCCTGGGGCTTCACAGGTAAGGCACTGCTCTGTGCCTAGCACAGTGCCAGGCCCAGCCGATGCCCAGGAGATGTCATTCTTCAGGGGCCTTGGCAGTCTCCACTGTGATTTCTGGCTCCCTCAGGACACCTTGTCTTGGGGGATGGTGCTCTCTGGGGGCCAGCCTCTCCATTTCCAGCAAAGAGCATTGGTTAAGAGTACAGACTTTCAGTCTAGAATGACCAGTTTGAATCCAGACCATATGACTTAATTGGGGTCACCTTGTATACTTTTAAAAAAAAACCTTTTCATCCTCAGTTTCCTCATCTGTACAATAGGAGACAGCTAGGATAAGGTACAAATGAAGTAAAGCAGTTGGCTCCCGCCTGGTGAGTACTAGGCATTTACCACACTGGGGAACCTCCCTGCCTGTGGCATCCTCTGATGCTGATCTTTGTCTCAGGTGACAGGAACACCCTCAAAAGGCTTTGATGAGAAGGCGTACCTGTCTGCCAAGCAGCTGAAGCCTGGAGAGGACCCCTACAGGCAGCACGCCTTCAACCAGCTGGAAAGTGACAAGCTAAGCCCTGACAGGCCCATCCGGGACACTCGCCATTACAGGTTGGAAGAGTTATCTTAAATTTTAACTTGCTTGTCTTGAGGGATGCATAGGAGATTAGTAAAACACACTTCTGAGTATGTCCGAGTGGAGTGGGTCTTGGGGCTTGACTCTACGTGGTCCCTGTCTGCTTCCTGGCTGGCTACTTCCTGTGCCAGGAGGTGAGGACGGTCCCTTTCCCTTGTGCTTCCTCCATGGTGCTTCTGCCTTGGGGCTGCTGCTCGTGGACTGAAACCACTAACCTGTGAGCTAAAATAAGCCTCTCCTCCTTAAGATGCATGTCGGGTGTTTTGGCCCCGTAACAGAAAGATGATGTCACACTGACACAGAGGGCCTGCCTCATGTTGATGAGAAGAAGGGCTGAGGAAAAGTCAGTGCCATTCATCTGGTTTTCTTTCTGTCATGTGTGTGAAGAAGATTTTCTGTCTTGGTCCAGTGACTTAGATGTGAGAGCTCTTACCCTCAGTGGCCGTCCTGTTTTATTGGCTGACTCACAGCTTTCAAAGACCAAGGAAACCCCTGGCAGGGGCCAGGGGGCCCACGGCACCTCATCTGGCACCCCAGCAGGAGTGGATCTGCCGAGGACTTCAGGGAGTTCCAGGCAGTGGGCAACCCAGGCTCGAGAAAAGGAACCTCCCGCCCATGGCTGGCTCTTGCCCCCTGCCTCCTGCCCTACCTCCTCAGTGAGGCCCAGAAACCCTGCAAATGTTGTTCTTAGTTCTCCCAGCGTGGGAGGCAGCAGAGGTCCTAAACCAGACAGGGAAGCCTCACTCCAGCCCCTCCGCTGACCAGTTCCACATGAGAAACCAGCCTTGGCCAGGTCATTACCCTCCTCTGTGATTCAGGCCCTCGTGTGTCCTGTCTGCAGCATGAGCCAACCCTCTGGTCTTTCCTCCTCCTGTTGTCACCTGCTGGAACAGCCTGTCTCCTGCTGCTGCAGCCTCCCCCCAAGCCCTGGCCTTATCTACCCTTTCTTGTGGCACCTACCGTCCCTCCCTGTGGTCCCACACTCCTCTCTCCCTCCTCGTTTTCACAGGCACTGTTCACTCTGCCTGAGCACACTTCCCCCACACCACCTGTGTCCTTTTCTCCAGGGAAGGCTCCTTGCCAACCCTGGCCAGTGCCAGGGTCTTGCTCTGTGCTCCAGCAGACTGGTCTGCCTGTAGCTTTGCATGAGAAAAAGGAGCTATGTGGGACCCGGACACAAGCACTGAGCAGTCTGGCCCTGGTTTGTGGGTAGGCAAGAGTTACTTCTGGGGCAGCCAAGCCGTAGCACAAAGGATGCATGTGAGAGAAAGGGGCAGAGCTGGTTCTAGCACCTTCCTCGTTACTCACAGAGGCGCACAGAGGCCCGGAAGGCTGGCAGCTGTGCAAGGTGAGACAGACAAGGGGACCAGTGAACCCCAGACCTCAGCCTCACTGTGCCGCCAGGCCCCGGAATCCCTTCATGCTACCAAGCGAGGCAGTAATTCTGCTGCTGGACAGCCTCTCCTCTCACCCCCAGGTCTACACAGCCATGTCCAGATCCCGGGGAAGTCCTATCTCAGTCAGTCCTGAGGAAGCTCCCCCGTGTCCCTTTGCTCAGCCCGCAAGGCTTCATCCGTGCATCTCTGCTTGGTCTTTTGCGGGCCGCCCTAGCCATGGCTGACCTAGGCCAACACAGGGCCTGGAAGATGTGCTGACCCAAACCTGTGGAGTAAGGCCCCAGCCTGCTCATCTCTGCTGCCTCCCAGCTCACTCCCACACTGAAGCTTCTTGGTGTTCACTGAGAAACTGGAAGGGGGAACTTCCCACCAGGTGAAACCCATTTTACAGTGAGACTCTACCCCCAGGGCAGTGGTGAATTGATGAAGAGCCACAGGACCAAGGTGGATCAGGGCGTGTGTGTGTGTGTGTGTGTGTGTGTGTGTTCGCGCACGCATGCATGGGCAATCATATATGTCCATTTATGCATGTATGCATGTGTGTACATGGGCATAATATGTTCATGTATGAGTCTGTATGTGTACTTGTGTGCACACAGTGTGTGTGTGTGTGTGTGTGTGTGTGTGTGTGTGTATGTGTGTAGGTGCAGCCTGTGTGCTGATGTGAACCACATCTTCCCACTGCAGTTTCTCCCGCGGGGCTGACAGTGCTAAGTGACAGGCTAGTTCCTGGTCTAGCCCTCCACCCAGGGAGGCCCCTCCCCATCAAGTGGAACAAAGGGACATAAACCATACAAGACAGACCTAATAGGACCCGAGGGACAGCCCAAGTCCACGTGTAGGATGAGGACAACCCCCTGCAGACACTCCTGGGTCCACAAACTATGGACATCGAAGAGGAACATAGGAGTCGGGGGAGAGGTTCAAGTCCACCCTCCAGACAGGACATGGGTCAGTTTGTCCCCTTCTGAAGTAGAGGAACATTGCTATCAAGATTCCCTCCTTCCTGGACACCTGAAGGTTGGAGGACAAGGACAGAGAGCTGGGCGCCCAGAGGTCAGGGCTGGGTGCCGGGTGCCGGCAGACACCTTCTCAGCTGACCAAGCCCACACCTGCTCCACTGCGAAGGCCTTTGGGGAAGACATTTGGAAAATGTGGCTTCTGGGAACAAATAGAAGTTTTCCTTCCCCCACCACTGTCCCACATCCCTGTTAAGGAAAATTATTTTCAGGCCTCTCAGGCTTTCTCCCTTGGGGGGGTCCCAGGCTACAGGGACTCCCGCTTGACTGACCAGTTCTGCTCTGCGGGGCAGGATATAGGCCTGGGAATTTCTGCTGGAAGCTGCTGTCAGTGGAATGAATGTCGTAATGAAAAAATAGTCGCTGTCGGAATAGTCAGGGAACAACTGTAATAAAGAGGCTCGCTGTGAGAGTCAGCGGAGGCGGCTGCCTTCCAGGCGGCTGGGGGCCTGGAGAAGCGCAGGTGCAGGAGGGACAGGGAGCACAGTGTGGGGGTGTGGGGGACGAGTGCTTTCATTCCAGCCAAGCCCCACGAAGGCTGGTCTCCTGGGGGGCCTCCCACCCCCCCATCCATGTCCCCTGCTGGGCTATTTAGGTCCCCCTCCCCTGTGAGAAGGAGGGGTCCCCTGCAGACAGGGTGGAGTGATTCCTGTCCAGACCCTGAGCTGCCAGAAGAAAAGGAAGAAGGCCCAGGGAATCAGGAGGCAAAAAGAAGGTGGTCTTCTTCCTGCCCTGTACGTGGATGTGTGGATGTGAGGGGCTGGGACCAACCTTTTCTGCCTCACAGAAGCGTTCTGGGAAGCAGCAGACTAGACCAAAAAGCGTGGGCCTGTTTAATGATGCCTCCCTGCTTCCTTCCAGTTGCCCATCCTTGTCCTACTCCTCGGACCTGCCAGCCACCAGTGTCATCATCACCTTCCACAACGAGGCTCGCTCTACCCTTCTGCGCACAGTGAAGAGGTAAACCACCAGGGCCGCCCGTCTCGGTGCGGGTGCCCCCAGGCCTGGGTAGTCTACAGAGCCTCTGGCCAGGCAGGATGAAGACCGACAGGCCCTGGGAAAGTGAGTCCTGTCCTGAGAAGTGGGGCTGTCGAATCAGGGTCAGGAGACGCCAGAAGCCTGCGGTAGGCAAACTCTCAGGTCAGGAGCTAGAATGTAAGATTCAGGAACAGAGGGAAGCAAGGATGGAGATGAGGCCTGAGAAGGGCAATGTCGGCCAAGTAGGTACCTGGTGAATCAGAGAGAGATGTTGGGCCCCGCCCACCCCCCATCCTCCAAACTGGTTGCTGGGGTCAGGCCTAAGCCCCACCCACCCACATTCCTCAATGAATTTAGGCAAGAATAGGATTTGGAAAGGTTACCCTGTGTGTTCCACGGACTGGAGAAACTTGAATGCCATCTCGTTAGAGACAGGGAGGAAGAAGGGCAGAGAAAAGGCAGGAACAAGTAGCTCCTTGGGAAGACCTCTCCCATATGCTGGGACAGCAGGAGCCTCACTGGCCAGCTGGGTCAGCAGCTGGTCTGTCCCTGCGCAGCCAGATAAGCTCTGCAGTCTGAACTTTTGTCCCAACAACCCAACTTGTACAGTTTCTCCATCACCCAGGACTGTCCCACATCACCCAGGGTCCTTGTGAGAGTCCGACAGTTTGCAAGCAGTTGCCAGTGACCAGTGTGCTGGTGCTGGGCGGTGGGACAGCCCCACACATGGGTGGGAGTAGTGGAAGGTGCCCCTAACCCCGGGCTCCTTCTCTTCCACTGCGGTTCCAGTGTCTTGAACCGGACTCCAGCCAACTTGATCCAGGAGATCATTTTAGTGGATGACTTCAGTTCAGATCGTAAGTGTTCCTGTGCACCCCTCCCTCCCCACCTTACCCTGTTTTCCCACAACACAGACGCGAACCATCTTCAGGATGCCCAAGCCATCGTGCCCCAACCTCTCTGCCAATAGAGATCTGTTGCCTTTTTCTAGGACCATACCGAACCCTAATGCCAAAGATGGGGAAAGAGTGGTGCTGCTTTAAATGGAACACCAATGACATGCTATTTTTAAAAAAAAATCGGAACAACATCAACAGCATTCTTCATAATTACAACATGTGTGCCAAAGAGCATCCTTTCCGTACAGCTTTGTGAGAGCCCGGCGGCCCAACAGCGCTGTGCTCTCTAGCGCCCCCTGGCGCCAGGCGGGGAGAAGGCTACAGAGATGGGCATTTCTCAGGCTGGTCTGGGCGGACTGAAAGCTGTGAAAGGATGACTGTGACCCCAACCTTTCCGTCCCCCTTCACCTGGGCTGGTATGGGACAGCTTCTGGGCAGTTCCACGGCAGCCAAGCCACTGTAATGTGACGCCATTCATCTGAATGAACTGGCCTTCCTTCCTTGTACCCGCAGCTGAAGACTGTCTGCTCCTGACCAGGATCCCCAAGGTCAAGTGCCTGCGCAATGACCGGCGGGAAGGTGAGTGCTTGGACAACTGTAGGCATGTCATGTTGCTCTACTTCCAGCTGCCTTCACTGTCTCTTCTGAGAAATGGAACAACGACAGCACCCTTTCTGCTTTACAAGGTTACATTAAGGATGAAATGAGAGGCTGCGTGGGCAGGCTTCGAAAATAGCCAAGGGAAGGATTAAGCAGATGCAACCTGGCTTCCACCCAGAGGTGCTTCGGGGCACTGGCTGTGGCGCAGCGTGGCGCACAGCCCTCTTGGGCTGCAAGAGAAGCACAAAGCCTGGTCCCAGCCCTCAGAGGGCTGCAGCCAGAGGGTCAGGATCCACCACAGAATCCGGCAGGCTGGTCACAGGTCTGCGTGGACGTGGGAGGTGGGGGGAGACCTGGAATGGGAGGGGCAGGCTTCTGTGCAGGAGTGGCCTCCATGGGGTAAGGAGCTTGTGAGACAAGACACAGGTTGCAATGGGGGGCGCACCAGGTGCAGCGACCCTGCATGCACAGACCCCTGTCAGAGACAAGGGCACACGGGGTCCCAGGAGCCCCTCTTTCTGACTGCCAGGGGTCCACGTGGACCACTTTCTCCCGTTTGGTCCTCATAACAGCCTTGTGTCCCCATTTTGTAAATAGGAAAATTGGGGTTTCAGAAGGCTCAGTAGTTTTCCCAGGGTGATAAAGAAAGAGCTCAAGGGGCTGGAGATTTAGCTCAGCGGCATAAGCGCCTGCCTTGTAAGCAGGCAGTCGTGAGTTCGATCCCTGGTGCCGATAAAAAGGAAAAAGAAAGAGCTCAAGATTCTAACCAGATGCATCCAACACAAAGACTGGCCTCTCGCCTCCTGCTATGCAGCCTTCCCATGAGAATCCCAATGTGAGCAGGGAACTGGGTAGAATCAACTGAAATGGAAGAAGACCTTGAAAGTCAAAAGAAAGCATTTAGACTTGATAAGGCATATAGTAGGGAGACACTGAAGGTTTGAGAGTGAGAGAAAGGGGAGACAGATACGTGCAAGAAAGACCAGTTAGGCCAAGGGGCCACAAGGGATAAAGAGAAAACAGTGTGGAGAATTGTGTCCTATATCACTGCATTGTGGGTGCCACTGGGGCCGGGAATAGGCCATCCACTGAGTCAGTCTGAGAATGCGTGTGAATTCATTAGATGCTTCCTGGATTCCTTTATGGTAGGAGGATGGAGCTGTGGACCAATGGATGGCTAGTTAGACGGATGCAGTGTTGGGCAGAAGTGTGACCAGGGGAATCTCTCCAAGAAGTGACTTGTATCAGAGAGCTCAGAGTGAGATCTTTCCCTCCCCTACAGCTCCCAGGACTTACTGGCAAGGGCGGAGCCACCTGGCTCTCCTCCCTCCTAACCAAACAGTTCCCAGTCCTTGAAGCCCATTCTTTGCTGGTCAGTGAACAGCTAGAGAACCACTGGGAAATGGGAACAGGAGGCCAGAACCTAACATATGCAGGTTCGCAAGCACCAGGCTCTCTCTTTGTCATCTTTGATCCTGACAAGCAGGGATCATTATCTCTCTGAATCTTATAGATAAGAAAACCGAGGCTCAGAGAGATGAATGCACTTGCGGTGAGCGAAGGGGCTGCACTCAAACTCGAGTGTGTCTCAGGCTGGAAGATCGGCTCCACGTCACGCCTGGTGGTGGGACTGGTGGTTCCCATGCCACGGGTTCCCAAGAGAAAGGGTTTGTTTTCTGGCTTTCTTTCAGGACCAGACCATACTTTACTGCATTTTTCACTTACTAAACTTGACTGTCCATCAGTGCCTGGCACAGGGAGATGGGTAATGGCTGAGGAGAAAGGAGGGAAGGAACATACTACAGGACAAGAAGAAGGCCGGACAGCACCTCAGTGCCTGAAGGGGAAGGGAGCCCAGGATTTGGGGCTCAGTCCCAGGCCCATTCGCTTCCTCTCCCATTGCAGGGCTGATCCGGTCACGAGTTCGCGGGGCAGATGTGGCGGCGGCCGCCATCCTCACGTTTCTGGACAGCCACTGTGAAGTGAACGTTGAGTGGCTGCAGCCCATGCTGCAGCGGGTGAAGGAGGTGAGCCATCCTTCCCAGGGCGAGCGGGGCGTCCTCGAGAGCTTGCTGCCAGGCTCCTGGTGTGAGGGAGGAGAGACTGGTGCGGAGCCCCGCTGGTGTCCAAGGAAGCCTCAGTGGTCTGCTTCCCAGGAGCCACACCCCTCTGAGCTCTCTGGTCTGGAAACAGGGACAGTTGCTCCCGTCCACGGGTTGCTGTGAGAACTGCCTGGATGAAAGCTGTCCTGTGCACGGGTTTGTTTTGATCCTAGGAGAGGCAGGATCCCATGCTAGAGGAGCTGTGGCCAGGCTGGGGAGCCCTAGAAGGAGACGGGAGAGCCTGCAGTTCTCACAGAGAGGAAGGTGGGGGCTCTCGTAACATGCCTGCTGCTCCCCAGAATGAGAGGATGTGGACACATGGAAGAAAAGGTTAGGTGGTACAACTCAACCAGAGAGAGACAAATAGCCTAACTTTAAACATGGGGGAAGCGCTTGAATAGACATTCCTTCTAGGAAACATTCAACTAAGACCATGGAAAGGTGCTCAGCATCATTAATCACCCAGGAAATGCCACTGTAAACTGCAGTGAATGTCACTTCACACCTTCTAGGGTGGCCGCATTAAGAAAGATGGACCATAACAGTTACCGGCAAGGATGTGGAGGAGCAAAAAGCTTCACATATTGTTGGTGAAAATGTAAAACACTCACCTTGGAAAACAGCCTGGCATTTCCTCAAAAGTTTAAATAGAATTGCCATCTGACCCAGCGTTTCCACACCGAGGTGTGGACCCGAGAGAAGTAAACACCAAAGCTACAGCCACACAAAGACCTGCACCCGTGTATTCGGAGAGACACTCTTTGGAACAGCCAAAGAGTAGAAACATCTATTGGCTGATGAATGGATAAACAAATGTGGTGTATCCCTGTGGTGAAATATTAATCAGCCATAAAACCAAACAAAGCACAGTATGAATGAACTTTGAAAACCTTAGGTGAAGTAAAAGCCAATCGCAAAAAGCTATAGGTTGTATGAACCCATGTATGGGAAATGTTCAGAATGATTAAATCCATAGAAATAGATTTTGTTGGGGTGACCAGAATGCTAACTAGAGAGCAGTGATGGTTGTATAACCTTGTGAACACATAAAGACACTTGAAATAGTGAGATTTATAGCATGCGAATCCTTTTGCAGCACAGAAGCATCTCGAACAGAAGCAGAAAGGCCCCACAGAGCATCAAACAGTCTCCTCTCTTCCTGTTCTGTTATCAGGGGATGGATGCACTGCAGGCAGGCCTGGCTGCATCCGGGGGTACAGACAAGCGTGTTGTGAGCGGGGAAGAACAGTGAGGGAGGAAAGGGGAAGATGGGGCTGTCCTGTGACCCCCACAGAGGACAGAGGAAAGGAAGCTGGGAAGTGTGGCTAAGTTTACATGGATTTGTGATCTAACCCACCGCTCCCCAAAGATGTACTTACCAACATTTCAAGTTGGGTTTGTGTCCTGGGAGGTGGTGCAGGGCCAGTCTGGCCTCGAGGGATGTGGCATGAGGGGAGCAGCCTCCTGCCTGCCTTACCCAGGGACCGGAGGGCCCCTGCCTGCAAGCTATGGCGCATCAGTTAGGAAGACTCAGCCCAAACATTTGCACAGGGATACACGGTGCCCACAAAGAACGCTCAAACCAGCCGCACAAGAGGCACCTCAGGCAGCAGATGAGTCACTGGCCCGCGTGTTGTCTAGACTTGATTGTGAGAGCAGCTTAAAAGCAAAGATATCCTTCAGCCTGCAGCATCAGTGATGGCCTCGCTGAGGAGAAGAGATCCCATGGGGCTCAAAATGATGGGAGGAGAAGTGACTGGTGCTGTCTTGTGCCTGGGAGACGCAGGCGGAGCCTTCCCGCAGCCTGACATAGGTCTGGGTGGTCCTGGGATATCTGGCAGGAAGCAGCACTGGCTGCTGTGGGTTCCAGAGAGACCTCCCCAGATCAGGTGGCTGAGCCTTTTCCTGCAGAGAATCCCTGGTCTCACACCGTCCTGCACCTCCTCTCCTAGGACCACACACGTGTCGTGAGCCCCATCATCGATGTCATCAGTCTGGATAACTTTGCCTACCTGGCAGCCTCTGCTGACCTTCGAGGAGGTGGGTCCTTCTCCCAGGGGAGGGGCTCTAGGCCTGAAAAGAAGCAGACTGAGGCCAGGCAAAAGCCCTGGTTTGGTGCTCTTCCCAGCTGTGCTGGAGTGTGACACTTTCTACTCTCCCAACCCTTCCTGCCAAAGATAGAATGAAAGAGGCCCTGGAGGATCCCTGGGTTTGAAGGGGAGCAGAGTCAGGCCAGTCTTGTCATTCCCTCCTATTCCTACTGGCAGCAGCCTTTGCAGATGCTGCCAGATCAGGGTCCGTGGCCACAGACTTGGCACAAGGCCATCTGGCAGCTCTCTAGCGTAGGGCAGGGGAGCCTTTGGCTGTGCGAGAAGAGAATTCCTCGGACGCTCACCCCAGAGATGAACAAGACCTTGCGGTGGGACACAGCGGCTGTTAACCACCTTTGGCCACTGAACTCTTGAAATATGGCTCGTGGTCAAAAGTGACTAGCTGGAGTTGAGATGTGCTGTATTTACAAAATATACACCGCAGCCCCCGGAGTTTCCAAGACTTAGTGTGAAAGAATATAAAGCATCTCCTTAGTATATTTTTATTAATTACACTTTGAAATATTATTTGAGATGTATTGCATTAAGAATATTCTATCACCTGGGTGTGGTGGTGCATGCCTGTAATCCCAGAACTCTGGAGGCTGAGGCAGGAGGATTACCATGGGTTTGAGGTTAGCCTGGGCTACATAAGGAGTTCAAAGCCAGCCTGAACTACATGGCAAGACCTTGTCTCCTCCCAACCCCCAAAACATATTCACATTTACTTCATTTTTAAAATTTTTTCTGTAACCCCTAGACCATTTGAAATGACATATGTGACTTAGGTTTGTGGCTTGCCCTGTATATCTTTTGGGTCATTCTTGTCTTGATTCCAGCGATGTGCTGTTTGACTATTGATATTTAAATTAATTAACATGAAATAAGATTTGCAATTCCATTTCATTGTTGTACTAAACCGCAAGTGCTCACTAAGCACATGAGGTTTTGCTACTGTATTAGACAGTGTGGAGAGAGACTTTTCTCCTTGCAGGAAGTTCTGTTGGACACTGCTGCTCTAGAGACCAGCCAGGAGCTATGGGGCATCTATGGGATTTCCTGTTCAGGGCCTGGCTTCCCAATAAATGAACTGGCCATTAATCAGATCTCAGCTTGTGTGGGATTCTGGGGGAAACCAAATATTTCCCCTTTGGGGATTCACCTCAGGGCCTTTGCACTTGCAGCTTCCACTGCCTAGAATTCTCTTTCCACAGATATTCTTGTGAATCTATCTACTAATTAGGTCTACATTGAAACTTCACCTTTTCAGAGAATGTTTCCCAACTGTCCTCACTAAAATAGCATGGACATCCACTTGTATATTCTCTTCTTTAAAGTACTTTTCACCCCCACTGAAATATTATGCATGTGTGTGTTTATTTGTGTGGTATTTTTCTTGTGGTGGATGGTGAGACCCAGGAGGGTGGGGTTGACTCATTCCTTAGGAAGGAGTGACAGCCTGTGGAGCCCAAGGCCCTCTGGGATCCAGCCATGGTCAAGCTGGGAGGTGGAATGAAGGGGACCACAGCCCCTAGCAGACTCTGCCCTGCGCCTGGTCCTCACCCTGCCCTGTTCCTTAGGATTTGACTGGAGCCTGCACTTCAAGTGGGAACAGATCCCTCTGGAGCAGAAGATGACCCGGACAGACCCCACCAGGCCCATCAGGTCAGAGCTGCTGTGGGCTTGGGGAGCCCAGGAGGTTCCTGGGAGACTGGATCCCCTGAGGGCCGAGTCTAAGTGCTCTGAGCCCTCAAACCCCTGCCTGCAGGGACCAAGAGGGGAGAGGGATGGGAACCATCTCGAGCGGCCCTCGAGCCTTGAGTCTTAGCTGCCCCACTCCTTTTGTCCCCAGGACACCAGTCATAGCTGGAGGGATCTTTGTGATCGACAAGGCCTGGTTTAACCACTTGGGGAAGTATGATGCCCAGATGGACATCTGGGGAGGAGAGAATTTTGGTGAGTTGGAAAACAATGGTAAACACGTCAGCAGTAATGCCAGCACAGACCGAGCATGTCCTATGAAAGCAATCTAAGGACTTTCCACATGTTGTCATTTAATCCTCACAAGAACATTGTGAAGTAAATCCTGCCTTCTCCATTTTCCCAATTAAAAACAGGTACAAGCTGGGTGTGGCTTGCACACCTACAATCCCAGCACTTTGGGAGGCTGAGGCAGGAGGATTGCAAGTTCAGGTTCCACCTGGGCAAGGTAGTGAAACCCTGTCTTAAAATGTTAAAAAGAATTAAAAGGGGTAGGGATCTAAGCCTGGGCTCAATCCCCAATGCCAAAAAGAAAGAGAGAGAGAGATCCAGAAAAGTAAAACAGTTTAACCGGAGCCACGTAGCTATATAGCTACAGCTGAACAACAGAAAAGCTTAGGTGTTTCCTGGGAGCCCATGACCCCATGGCTAGAGGTGCGTGGAGAACACACTGAGTGACACGGGTCACAGCTGCTTCCTCACCAGAAGGGCTTTGGCAGGGGGTACAGCAGGTAAACTGCGGGCTCGGAGGCCCAGATGCCAGCCCTGACCCTTCCTCCTTTAAGCTGTTTGGTTCTGGGCAAGTTCAAGTCTCCCTGGGCACCAGTTTCCTCCAGAGGTTGTTCTGGGCAGTAAGTGAGATGACGATAAAACGTGTCCCCAGTGCAGGTGGCCGCCTGGCTGAGAATGAGGCTGTGGGGTGCCCCCCCCGCAGCAGGGCAGGAGGTGTCCTGGCCCTCCCAGAACAGCAGGAGAGGAGCCGGCAGGGGTGAAATGTTCCCTGGGGAGCTTGTTCACTGCCGCCTCCACTGCTTAGCTGGGTGCTGGAGCTGCCGCATTGTGAGTGGTCAGCAGGGCCTGCATGGGTGGCCCACGTGGTGGCCTCGGGTGAAGCCTGAGCTCTTTGGATCCTCAGTTTCTTCCTGAGGAAGAAGGAAGTGACTGTCCCAGGGAGTCAGTGGAAAGCGGGGTAGACAGAGAGGATGTGTGGGTCCAGGTAGCATCCCAGCATGGGGGTTTATTAAAAGGTGTCTTTCACAGTGTGAGCAGGATACAGGGGACCACAGGGATGGGATTGTCCAGGTGGGGCATGACTGCAGGGCGCTGTCACTGCCCTGAGATTGGGAACACAGGAGGGAGCACCCCGGCAGGGCTTGTGGTCTTGACCCTCAGGCCAACCCAGGGCACAGCTGAAGGGCGACAGGGATAATTCATCCCCTTTCAGTGCCTGCTGCTGACCCAGCCAGAGGGAAGGCTGCCCGTGGTGCAGCCCACACTGAGTGGGACGGGGGAGCGCAGCAGGCCAGCCCAGGGCTGGAGTAAGAGTAGGCCCTGTGCCTTCTGTAAACACAAAGGCCCTGTTTCTGCTCCTCCCCTGCTTTCCAACTGTCTCCTTCTTCATCCTGACCTGCTCTCTTCAGCAGTGAGTAAGGCTGTTGGCACCTCACCCATTTGGCAGGCTGGAAAACTGAGGCAGGCTGCTGCCTTCTAGATTTCAGTCAAGAATCATCACATCTGACAGCTTCTGATGCAGAGCCACCTAAGTGCAGGCTGTGTTACCAAAGTCAGGCCTTCTCTGAGATGTTAGGAATGTGCTCTCCTCCCTCCCCCCTGACAGGAGAGCCCTGAGAAGAGAAGCTGAAAGCAGGCCTGCCTGGCACCCACCAAAGGGGTGGGCACAGGTGCAAGATTTCCTCCCCTGGGTGACTTACTCTTGGAAAGGATTTCCAGGCAGGCACTGGAGGAGTGAATTCTGGGAACCAGGGCTGCGGCGACCCATCCATCCTGCCCTCCTTTCCTGTGTTTTGGGCCTAAGTGACCTCCTTTGTGTCCTGGGTCTCAGCCTGAAGGCGACGTTGGCAAGGCTGGTTTCCTGTAAGGAATTTGAAAGCTGAGAAAGGAACAGACTCCCCTGCTCCAGAGGCCTCTTTTGCTCTCCATTTTTTTGGGCTGGGGCATGACAGAGCAACAGTAAAGGATCAAATAGCGGCTTCAAACTCTGCCTGAGGCACCGACTCAGTGGTTGGGGAACTTGAAAAGTGGACTGCAGAGTCGTTCTGGCGAGGGCTGTGTTTCTGAGCAGGAATTCAAAGGACTGTCTGGGCTGGCTGCCGCGCTCAGCTGTTCAGCCGCTGGGGCTCATTTGTGGCTGGAAATCTCTTGTCTGAAAGACCTTTCATTTCAGACCTTGAAGGAAGGGAGATGCCCAAACCGAGCGGTGTTCCTGCGGCCCTCAGACTCAGTGACCTCAGGTCACCTCGAGTTGGGCCTGGCGGATGTGAAAACCTTGGGGCTCTCCTTAGAAGTCTTTTTATTTTGGTTTGATTTGATTTATTTTGGCAGTGCTAGGGCTTGAATCCAGTGCCGTGTGCATGCTCTGGCACTGAACTCTGTTCCTCATCCCAAGGAACCGTTTTGAAACATAGACGGGTCACCTCTCTCCCCTGCTCAAACCCTGAGAGGGCTTCCATGCTATTTGACGCAACCTCCAAAGTCCCCACCCTGGCTGCCAGACCTAGACCAGAGGGCATCCTCCCAAGCCCACCCTAGGAATTTCATCCCGGTCTCCCCCACCTCCTGCCCTGCCTCACTTTCCCTTGCTGTTAGGCCTCCTTGCTGAGCCTTGAACCTGCCGCAGCCCTCTCATCTCTGGGAATGCGCCAGGCCTTTGCTGGTCCCTGGCCTGGAAAGCTCCCCACTCCACAGCCAGCTCCAATATCCCCTTTCAGTGAGAACTTCCTAAATCAGCCTCACTGGAAACTGGTTCCCCCGACTCCACTAGCTCTCTCCAGCCCCCCAACTCTGCTTAACTCTCCACATTGCACTTATCACTCTCTGATGCGATACATATTCTACACGTTTTCTCACATCCTTGTCTTTTGTTTCTGTACTGAGTTCCTGTCTCTCCAGCATTCTAGAGTATAAGGGTGTCTAAAACAGTGTATGACACAGAACAAGTCACTGAGTGTCTTAAGGAATCTGATTCATACAGTTCAGTTTGCTGGACAGCGTATAAATTTTGTCACATTTCTGGACTGTATAGTTGACTGACCTTAGTGAGGTTATTTAATATCTTTGAGCTTCACCAGCCTTATTAAAAGTAATGTGAAGATAAAGCCAGGCACCGTGGCAGGTGCCTCAGGACGCTGAGACAGGGGAGTCAGGTGAGTCCAAGAATCTGAGATCAGCCTCAGCAACATAGTGAGAAGCTGTCTCAAAAAGGGGGGCAGGGATGTTATTCTGACTTCACAAGGCCGCAGTGAGAGTTAGAGAGTGGATGTAAAGGGCCTGGCATGTAGTAATGCTCAGTAAATGGATGGTGGTTACTGCTGTTGTCGCTGCCACTGCTGACAAGAGTAACAGCCTGATGGGTGCAGATGGCACAGACTGAGTGGGATGAGCTGGCTTAACTAGCGTAACATTGGTCTGGCAGAAGTGGAACTAGAATGTACATCCTACGTCCCCTTGATGTGTCTCCAGTTTTAAACATTGTTGCTAAGGCCAGCTACGGAGTCTGCCCAGGAGAAGGGTGGATGCCCAGCAGTTCACGGTTAGGCCTAAGCCTGTGTGTGGACCCAGGTATGTGAGCCACATCTGGACATGGCCTGGTGCCCACTGGCTGGCCAGAGGGGGGCATTAGTCCTGCTCCCTCCTGGCTATTCACCTGCCTGAGAGCCCCCAGGCTTGGCCAGGTCTGCAACCATCCTGAGGTCAGCTGGGGAGCGGAAGGGAGACCAAGGCTAGAACTCACAAGAGAACTGTCTTCCTCTTTTAAAAGGAGAGTTTAAGCATCGTGGGTCGCTGGGTGTGGTGGCAGATGCCTGTAATGCCAAAGTTTGGGAAGCTGAGGCAGAAGGATCACCATGAGTTTGAGGCCAGCCTAGGCTATGAACTCACTAGTTCACTTTATAGTGAAACCTTGTCTCTAAAAAAAAAAAAACAGGAAATCAAGGAGTTGGAAGAGATCATATGAGGCTCTGCCAGCTACCAAGGTGGTCTTGGTCATAAAGTGGGGTTGGAGAGCTGAGAACAGAGAGGGCACCTGGTGACATCCCCTCCTGGGAAGCCCAGTGTCCCTTCTTGCATCTCCCGACACGGCTCCCCACACTGCTCCTCAGCCATCTGCCAAAGCCCTTTGGGCTCCGCCACCACTCTCAGAAGCAAATGTGTCAAGAGAGCCCACAGCAGCCTGGTCACAGAGCCCATCTGGGCCTAGCAGCCAGCCTGGGGACAGCCAGAGAACTGCACAGAGGCAGCCTGTGGGTGGCTGGTGGCCAGTGACCGTGCCTCACAGGCGTGCAGGGCTCAGGGCTTCCGGACACGGGCTATAAATGCTCCTGCTGGGGTTGGGTACCGTTCTCCATCTGCCCATAGCCCTGGTTCCTTCAGGGCCTTTCCCACTGCTCTCCTGGGGCTCAGCCCAGTGTGTGCACGAGTGTGTGCAAGGAGCGGGCGTCCCAGGAGCTCTGACTCCAACAGGTACCTGCAGTGAGATCCCAAAGAGAGGGAGGCCAGCCCTTCCTACCCTCTCTCTCTAAGAGGGACCTGTCAAGGGGGGCCCCTTCCCCTTCCTGATTGCTGTGGTCTCCTGCAGAGCTCTCCTTCAGGGTGTGGATGTGTGGAGGGAGTTTGGAAATCGTCCCCTGCAGCCGGGTGGGCCATGTCTTCCGGAAGAGACATCCCTACAACTTCCCTGAGGGCAACGCCCTCACCTACATCAGGTAGGTCCCCGTGGGAGTAGCCCTGCAGTGGAAGGAGGAGAACATGGCTCTGGACCCCACCCTGCCACTTGCCATGTGACTTCAGGCTGCCCTCTACTTTATGGGCCTCAGTTTCCCCATTTCCCCGTCCAAGGTCTGACATTCTAGGATTCCCAGCACTTCGGGGCATAGAGGGACGAAGTTGAGAGCATTGTCACCAGCAGTCTCTTCACTCCCTTTGCTCGTGACAGTCTCAGAAAACTTCCCCAGTGACTGACTGAGTGACACCCTCCCCATAGTGAGTCGCAGATGCTGGTCATGGATATCAGTGTCCCGCCCTTGACCTGGCCAAGTATCCATCCATTTATGTCCCCGGCCAGGCACACTTGGTGTCACCGAAGAGTGGGCAGTCTTGGGAGCTCCTCTGTCCAGATAGGGTGACATGGGGAGGGCAAGGGGGCATCCTCTCCTCCTAAGAGTGCTTCTCCACCTCGTCCTTGCTTCTTCCTGTAGGGTTTAGAGCAGCAGCTTCCCAAGGGGCTAAATGAATGGCCTCTGGTCTGTTTTGCCCCCACCCCTTTTTGTTTTTATAATTATAAAAATCATATATATTTTCTGTAGAAAACTCAAGCAATATTAAGATATATTATATATGCATATCTATATTATGTATTCACTTTCTTATATTATTTTTTTTTGTCTTTTTCATTTTTATCGGTACCAGGGATCGAACTCACGACCGCCTGCTTGTAAGGCAGGTGCTTATGCCACTGAGCTAAATCCCCAGCCCCCCACTTTCTTATATTATTAAGGAGAAAAAGTGAAAGTCCTTTTTACCCATTCTTTCTTCTGGGCATGTTCCACTTGTCTCATCAGCACTAACTGCTGTAAGTGGCTAGCCCGTCACTTCAGGCCTTTAAACAGAACTAACCATGTTCCCAAACCACTGGCCTAGCTTTCCGGGCCTTTAAATGCATTTCCAGATGCACAGTGCAGGCGAAGAGAAACACACACCGCTATGCATGGGTGCTAGTGGGCTATGCTATGTGCCCTTCGGTGACCCACTCCCCTGCCCCAACTCTGTCACACACATCTGTCTGTGTCCACACCCACTCACTGTAGTCCTTTTGTTCAAGGCTGCCTCATTCTCCAGCCTGTGCACACAGTTACTCTCCTTTCGAAGGGCATTTGGATTGTCACCAATGGCCTGTCACATGAATTTTCATATGCCTGCCCTTTTTGCACACATGCAGGTATTTCTGTAGAACAGATTCCTTCAAGTGGGGAGTCAAAGAGCAGGCATAGCACCAGTGCTGGGGCTTTTGGCAGAGTGTCCCCCAAAAGACTGTGCTAATTTACACCACTGCAACCAGTTCCGTTTCGCTTATTCTCCTGAGATGCTGACCTGAGCTGCACAGAGCTCAACTCTTTTCCTTTTCTTTTTTAAATTTTTTTCTTAAATATATGTTCTTCATGGGCAGAAGTTTTATAAGAGCTGAACTTGACCCCAACTTCAAGACTGTTGTCTCTCTGTGAACTTATTGTGCTTCTTCCTCTCCTGGTAGGAATACCAAGCGTACTGCGGAGGTGTGGATGGATGAATACAAACAATACTACTACGAGGCCCGGCCCTCAGCCATTGGGAAGGCCTTTGGCAGGTGAATGCCCACCTCCTGGTTGCCCCCACCCACCCATCTTAGCACAGCCCCCGCAAAATACAGAACGGTGTGCTGGGGAGCCACTCAAAATCTCCCTAGCAGTTGAGCCTCACTCTCAAGGGCTCTGGGAGCCAGAGAGGGCTCCTCGGTGGAGAATGAGAGGGTCGCCATCCCCAAGCTGCCTGCAGGAAGAGGGCACCTGTATGGGGGGTGTAGGAAGGAGCTGACTGCAAAAGACATTTTGAATTTCACCTCCGTGCCCCCTCAAAATTGTCATCTGTCAGCCTATTTTCTTGTCAGGGACTGTTAGGACTGTAGTCTAGTTAAGCATTTTCAAAATGCAGATGGGTTGTGAAATCAATTTAGTGAGTCGTGACCAGCATTACAAGAGAGGGAAAAAAAACCCCATAGATTAGATTAGTACAGAACAAAATAGAAAATCAGAGTTGATTGCAGTGAAGGGTAAGTACTGTTTTACGAAACTCAGTTATGGTGTGTGTGTGTGTGTGTGTGTGTGTGTGTGTGTGTGTGCATATGCCCCTGGGAACAGTATACCACATGTAAGATCTGCTTATCTCCTTCTGAAGAAAGAGAATAGGAGAGTTTGAAAACATTGTTAATGATTGACTATGAATGAATCATCTTATAGCTGTCCCTTAAAAAAAAACAAGGATGTCATTAAATATTTCTTTTACTGAGGATCTTTCCTGGGCACTTCACATCCCCTTAAATTCATTTGATTTTCACAAAAACTTTCTGAAGTGAGTGCTTCCCCAATTGTGGAAGAAACTGAGGGTCAGATAGGACGTTGAGGGGCTTCGGCGTGGCCATTGCACTTGGCATTGCTGGAAAGGTGAGGAGACTGAATGGCAGTGTAGCCAGCCAGATGGTTCTATTTTTTTTTTTTTTTGGTACTGAGATTCGAACTCAGGACCTTGTGCTTGCCAGGCAGGTACTGGCCACTGAGCTAGATCCCCGGCCAGCAGATGGTTTTTATTGGCCCAAACTCCTCAAAGATGTTTAAAGCTTGCTGTTCTTTTTGTTGGACCCTTTCTCCTAAAGTGGAAGACAAAAAGGGAAAACGTGTAGTTCATGAATTCTCTGGGGAAATAAGGACCAGCTGGTGGTATATAAACTGAGGTCTCTAAGAAGGAGAAGTCCAGGGTCCCCTGTGGGCTGGGCTCCTCTGAAAAAGTGAGCTGAGAGCAGGATGTGAGCCGAGGAGAGGAGGGAGGAGGCTCAGGCAGCCTGAAGTGACTTGTGGGTGTGAGGGTGACATAGGCAGGTGGCCAAGGCTAGCCGGGGCAGCCTACTCATCCCACTCCACGGCCTCCTCCCCCCACTGTGGCCTCCTCTCCTCCTGCAGTGTGGCCACAAGGATCGAGCAGAGGAAGAAAATGGACTGCAAGTCCTTCCGCTGGTACCTGGAGAATGTCTACCCCGAGCTCACGTGAGTGCACCCTCAGCTCCTGCGCGGCTCCCGGGAGCACAGTGTGGCTCCTTTTTCTGCCTGAGGACTGTGGGAGACCTGGCAGGTGTTACCGGGAGTCAACAATTAGGTGTAACAGGAAGCACATTTCTGAGACTGGATCTTGGACCTAGAAATGGATATCATCCCCCTGGGAAAACACCGCATTGATGCAGCAAAGGCAGCAGAAACCTTCCTCATCCTTGACCTGGTTCTCCTCTTTCTGGGAGTTTATTCTGAAGCAATAAAGCAGCCAAAAAAAAGCTGCTGACGGCAGATAGCGCAGCCTTATCTGCTGCTGGGGAAAGCGGAAAACCAGCTAACAATAGGGCTCTGTGAATCTCCATACGTTGATTTAATCAAATACTGTGCATCTGTCAATATTACAGTCACAAAGACTGTGAGAAACATGGGGAAACATTTGTTCTAGAAAATGAGGAAGCGAAGTACAAACGGTATGCGCTGGGCCAGCGGTCCCCTAGGCACAGAATCTTTGATCTGTTTTGTTTATTGCTTTATTTCTAGCCTCTACCAACAATGCTTGTTACAAAAGAACACTTAACAAGCATGTTTTTTGACTGAATAAATGTCACGATCTGGTCGTAGGCCTCAACAATGCCTTAAGGTAACATTTTGTCTCCGTGGCTGTCACACCTGGGGGTGTCACTTGTCCTGCTACCGCCAGCTCCATCCCCAGGAGCCTGGGAAACTCCACCCCTCAGAGCCTGTGTGTCCTTGAAGGGGGCAAATCTTTGCTTTTGAAGGCACATTTGATTTCTAGAAAGCAGTCACAGTCAGATTGTGACTGCTTTCTAGCCAAGCCCAGGGAATGTGCTAGATGTTAAAACCAGATAAAAGCTTCCGATGTTCCAAATACACACGCCTTGAGAGGAGTAAGACAGAACTGAGCCTGTAGCAGTTTCCAAGAAATTCCAGGACAGTGTGAGCAACAGCAGCGTCCTTGGGAGGAAGTTGGCAGCCTGGACAGCCCCAGCTCCCCGGATGACTGCTGTGCAGGGAAGTGCATTAAATTATAAAATGTAAGCAGTGAACAGCTGCTTGAAGTGACTGCTTTTAAGCAGACTGAGCTCATCCACATGTGGCACTTCTGAAGTGCTGAGGTATAAAAAAAAGCAGTCATTTCTTACAGCGTTTGGATGGAGCCTATAGACCCCACACCCTGGGCCATGAGCCGGGAGCCAGGAATTCGAGCTCAGTGAGGCCTGAGCTTCCTATTTTTTCACAAGAGGCTAGATTCATGTTTTTCTGTGTTGCCTTAAAATTTAAATGGGGGGCGTGTAGCCTAAAATCCCAGCGCTCTGGAAGGCTGAGGCAGAAAGCTCAGAAGATATTCTTTTCCACAATTGTTTGTAATGGTCTAAGGCTTTTCTAACTAGGATGAATCAGAATTGATTCAGCCCATCACCTATTGTTCGATAACTATTCTAGTGTTTCCAGGGTCAACTTCTCTGAAATAAATACCTTTTAACGTACCCATAATTATTTCCACAGGATAAGGTCCTTGAAGTAGCATTGTTAGGTCAAAGGTGTGCACATTTTTAAGGACATTGGTTCTTAGCTTCACCCTGCCCTCCCAGAAAACCAGACTCACTTTTGTCCTCACTGGTAGGCTACGAGAAAAGCCGGTCTCACAGTTATTACCGACACTTGGCATTGTCTCTAAAAAATACGTGTGTCTGTGTGTACATATGTTCTCAAATACATATGGTGAGCAAGTAGTGGTAACTCTCTAACATGTATTTGTTTAATTACCAGTGAGACGGAGCACATTTTCCTATTTGTGTATTTCAATTTGGCTTCTTCAAATGACAGGCCCTGTCATTTTGAGATTTGGTCATGAGCCCAATTTGGGCCCACTCCTCTCCCCAGGCTTCCTCTTCTGGGCTGAGGAGCCCTGTGTTTGGACCCAAGCTTTCCCCTCCACATCCTCTGGGTCACAGACCTGGCCTCTGGGTGACCCTAGGCCTCGTGGAAGAAACTTCTGGAAGCTGAAGGGTCCCCACTGGGCCTATGGGTCACAGAGGCTTTGGTGACCGGGCCCTGTGCTCTGGCAGTGGGTATGGGTAAGCAGGGAGGGCAGGCCCCAGCTTGACCGCTATCTTTTCTCTCAGGGTCCCCGTGAAGGAAGTGCTCCCCGGCATCATTAAGCAGGGGCTTAATTGCTTAGAAACCCAGGGTCAGGACACAGCTGGTGACTTCCTGCTTGGAATGGGGATCTGCAGGGGCTCTGCCAAGAACCCCCCACCAGCCCAGGTAAGCTACTGAGGCCCATAGGTGCCAGAGGAGATCCAGGGGCTGGTCTGGGAGAGGCCAGGGGCTTTACCCTGTCCCTTCTGTCCACACCTTCCTCAAACTCTCTTTCCCAGCGGCCTCCATGCTTTGCCCAGGGGTGTAGCTAGGGTCAGCTAGTGCAGTGGGCAGCAGCCTTCAGGACTCTGCACATGAGTGAGCATATGAGTGCCACCCCCCATCAACACTAGAGCCGGCCATGTAGACCTCAGGGGGCTCCCAGGCTCCCTTGGTCTCATGTCTTGTTATTTTCTCCTGTCCCCAGTGTGCCTTGACACCTCCTTGACTGCCCTCTAGTTGACTCTAGCTAAGCTTTCCCACCTCAGTATTTGATTATAAACACTTTCAAGCTTAAAAAGAAGGAGGATGGGGAGGAGAAAGAGAGACTGAGATTTCTGGTGTGGTGCATGCCTGTAGTCCTAGCTCTCTGGAAGGCTGAGGCAAAAGGATCCCAAGTTTAAGCCTAGCCTGTGCAACTTCGTAAGGCCTTGTCTCAAGAAATAGAAAAGGGCTGGGGATGTAGTTCAGTGTTCAGACTCTCAGTTCAATCTCCAGTATGAAAAAGCAAAAAGAAAAGAAAAGAAAAATTGAAAGATGTGTACAGTGAATACCCATCTAGCTTCCCCTCCCTTCTATAATTATTTGTGGAACATTCTACTGCTTTTATAGAATATGGTGGACTTGCTTTAGCACCTGTCTTCCCACTTGTCCTGTCCTTGTCTTGCAGGCTTGGCTGTTCACTGACCATCTCATTCAGCAGCAAGGCAGGTGCCTGGCCGCTACTTCTGTGTCCCCTCCCGGGTCCCCAGTCATCCTGCAGGTGTGCAACTCAAAAGAAAGCAAACAGGTAAGCTCTGCCCCCAGGCACAGGTGGCCTGTAGCCCCAGGGGGACATGCAGCCAGTGTAGCAAACAGTGACAGAGGAGTCCAGCTTTAGACAGTCGCAGATAAACCCTCCAGAGTGAGAACGGGCAGGACCTCAGTCAGCATCCAGGCCTGGCCTAACACTTCACTCAGGAAGAATATTTCTTTAGCTAAGTATTTGCTGCACATCAGTCTTGCCCATGTGAGGCAGGAGCAGTTTGTCTTGTTCATGCTGTCGCCTTAGCCCCTGACAGCTACACCGCTTAAATCAGCATTAGCACAGGTGTTTGCCACCCTTGCCTGGGTTGTCACTTCTCATCCTCTCTGCCTCCTGGGGGGGCCTAGGACCAGCCCTGTTTTAAAGGTGAGTAAACCAAGTCTTGTTGCCACACATCTGGGAAGGGCTGGAGCTACGACTTACACTCCTAGCTCCTAGTGGGTGCCCAATTGGTATTTCTTGACTGCTGGCTGACTGGAGAAACTGAGGGCCAGATATAGTGATTTCCACGCTGATGTGACTGGCTCACAGGACTGGTCCGTCTGTCCCCCACTCTCACCCACACTGCCTCCTTGAGTCCTAAGAGACAGGTCAGGGTGTCCTGTGCGGGAGAAACAGGTTTGGAGAGACTAAGCCACCCACTCAGGACACTCAGCAGCCAGTGACAGGGGGAAGCTGGCTTCTTGCTGTGCGACCACCTTCCTGGCTGGAAGGGCTTCCAGATCCCAGGGTGAGGCTGCTCCAGCCCTGACCTGTCCACCTTCTACCAGCGCCCCCTGAGTCTGACTGCCCAGCTGTGCTGACCCGCAGGGCTTGGCTTCTACTCCTTGTCTCCTTTCCTCTCCTTGTTTCTTCTCCCCTCCCTTCCACCCGTCTCCAGCCTTCTGAAAAAATTTTTACTATGCAATAAGATCTCACTAAGTTGCCTAGGCTGGACTTAAACTTGGGATCCTCTTGCATCAGCCTGTCAAGGAGCTGGGATTACAGACAGTTGCCGCCACGCCTGACTCTCCCATTCCTTTCTGCCTGTCTAGGTCAGCTCTTTCTTTAGGAGTGGCTGAAAGTTTGCTGTTCCATTCAGGAGAAGCAGCTGGGTCCTCTCCCTGTAGCTGCACCTCCTCTGCCCTGCCCTGGAGTGGGCTGGTGCATGGGCTGCCCTTCATCCGGATCACCGGAGGGGAAGCCTTGAGCCCAGGCCACCTGCTCTATGTTGAGGTCAGAGGGAAGGAGTGTCTGCTGAGGCAGCCTCCCCTCAAATCTTTCCCTGGACTGAGGCATCCACTTTCCCATCTGGGCTGAGCTGGCCGGGGCTTGTAGGGCTCTCCCCATCCCTGTCCATTCTGGTCCTGCCAGTCCTACCAGGATCCAGGAGCCTGTGCCTCTCCTCTCCTGGAGGACGGGATGAGAAGCCCTTCCTCAACACAGCCTTCTGGACCCTGGTCTCTCCTGGGCCATCTTTGGCTCTGTTCAGAAGGCCTTTCCCATCCCCTACTTCGGGCCTTTTGACTTTAACCAGGGCCGTGTAGGCTCAGTGTGGCTGGTTCTCAGCCTGGCCCCTCACAAGCCCTCACTCCCAAGGGATGCGTAGACTCCACAGCTCCCAAGTCCCACGCTGTCCACCCCTGCAAACCCTTGAAGCCCTAGTGCTGGCCTGCAGCTGCGTGCCGCACCTTTCTTTCCCCTCCCTGCACCCTAAGAACATGGGCCCTTCTGCTCAGACCCGTCTGAGTTCCATCCATGTTCCACCCCCTCTTACAGAGGACAAGGTGGATGTAGGAAGGGAAGGAAAGGTAGTTTGATGGGAGAAAATCAGAGAGAAACCAAAAATAAAACTGGCTGGCTATTCAGTCTTCCCTGAGACCTGAAACCCGAGTCTCAGCCTCTCATCCCATCTCCTCTGTGTTCCAGACAACACTCCTTCCTCCATCCAGGCTCTTCTAAAAGGTTCTATCCACCTGTCAGACCTGGTGGAGGGAAGCATAAGTAAGGGAAGGCATGATGGGAAAATCTGAGTGCTCCCAGCATCCCATGGGAAGCCATGTCTGCAAAAATGGCGACTTGTTCCCACTAGCATGTATAGGTTACAGGCCAAGTAAGAAGCTTAGGGCTGCAGGAAGAAGCAAATTGTTCAAGGAAAAGATTCATCAGGCTAAGACTCACAAACTCAAGTGCCCACAAGGAGCTGGTAGGGAGGAAAGTCAGGACCAGGAAGGCACTATGGAGAAATGGAGAATGAGAGCCCCATCTGAAGCAGCGAGCAGGTAAATCCCCAGCCCTGTCAACTGAGCCACACAAGAAACTGGGCCCATAGGATGGAAAACCATATTACTGAGCTTTTGTTGGATCATTGAACGGAACTGTCTCCAATCTCACTGTATGAATGTCCACTTTATATGCTTTAATTTTATAATTTGGACAACTGTTTCTAAGAAGACAATATGTAACCTATTAATTAGTGATTTCTTACTGTATATTTTTTTCTTGAAATTCTGTATTACTTGTACCCTTTTACTGCTTTGTTTTTTTATGTCCTTTCTTTTTTCTCTTTAAATTAAAAAAAAAAAAAAAAAAAAAAGAAACTGGGCCCAATGTCCAAGCAGCAGCGAAAAATGTAGACTTTGTAGGTGATGAATAAACCAAATTCTAAGCAAACACTGTACCAACCGTACATAATATATCTTCAGCCCAAAGCATCTGCATTGCCCCCCCCCACCCCGATCTAGATAGCAACTAATGCCAAACTACAGAATGGAGCTTAGAGCTTCCTGCAGGTGGACGGCCCTTCCACAAAGGGCACACAGCCTGTTTTCAGTGAGGGGATCAGCCTAGGGTTGTTTACACGCATGTAAAATGAAGGCAGAATTGTTATTAGTTTGTAATCATTGCTTTCTCTTTTTCCCTCTCCCTCCTGTCCCATCCCTTCCAGAAATGGAAGAGAAAAGGATCTTTCATCCAGCATTCCATCAGCGGCCTCTGCCTGGAGACGAAGCCTGCCCAGCTGGTGACCAGCAAGTGTCAGGCTGACGCCCAGGCCCAGCAGTGGCAGCTGCTGCCACACACATGACAGTAGCTCCGGGGCCTCCTGTATCTTTTGCATGAGACTTTGGGACCAGAAGGGGGTTAGGGTGGGGGAGTGTCAAGTGGGCCCTTTCTGTCTCCTCACATTTCTGCCCCGATCATCAACAGACATCCCTGTGACACCTTTCTCCAAAGCTTGCTCTGGAAAGGGTGCAGGGGGCCACCCTGCCATGTCCATGTCCTGGGAGAGGCAGTGGGCAAGGTGCTGGGTTGTTGCTGGCAGGCTGGGTAGGTGCCCTTCTTGGGGTCTGACAGTAGTGTGTGGGCTCTCTCCTTGTTGCTTGGGGTAACAAGGACAGAAGCCTACACAGAGGCCAACTGGGATCCTGGGGCCTGCTGTGGGGGCAGCAGGAGAAGAGAAAGTGGGCAGTGTTTTTGGAGAGGCTGAGGGCTGGGAAGACAGAGAGGAAGAGAGGAGCCACCTACAGGGGTGACAGTGATTAGGAAGAAGGAAGACTCAGGGGCCTGTCCAGGAGATGCCAAATGCAGGGCTGGTGGGTGGCAGGAGTGGGATCCTGGGAGAAACAATGGACACTCAAAGGAGTACTGTACAGATCAGAGCATTAAAGAACAAGGCCCAGGACATCATCCATCCCCTGCTTGTCAGCCCCACTGAGCCTGATGCATCCCACAGTCTCAGCAGGAGGCTGCAGAGGGATCTGGGATGTCATTTTTAAATGGACTTCACTTCTGTTTGCCCATGTGTCCACCAAAAACTCTCTTGGGCCTTAATAACCAGCCAGTGCCCCATCTCTTCTGCCTGAGCCCACTGGGAGGATGGGCAGCTGCCACGCACCCTGGAACGGTCCCATGCTCATTGGTCTCCTGCTTTCTCACAGATCTTTGCCTCTGTATATATAGCATCTTAGGTCAGGGTGGCCAGTAGGAATGGGACCTCCTTTCTGGAGCAGAACATTCCCTAAGTCACCCAGGCCAAACTTTGTTCTCAGTCCTTCCCCGCAGGAGGACTCCCTCCAAGGGTCAGTTATTGCAGGAGGTTGAGAGGCTGGCTGATGGCTCCTGTTTGGGTGGAGAAATCCCAGATCCTTCTCCCAGCTATAGAGAACACCATTTCCACTCCTCCCCATGGCCCTGTTTTGGGATCTCCTCTGTAGGAAAGACTGCTCATACAAGAACCCCAGGGGTCTCTGTCCTGACGCAAACCATCCTTGACCTCTACCTAGTCTTTCATAGAAAGTACAGATTTGTGGGGATTTCATGGATTCCAGAAGGTTTAGGGAGCTCCAGAAATTGTCCCCACAGTATTCCATTGTATGTGTGCATATACTCATTTTTCCTGGGGAGAGGTCCATAGGGGCTCCCAGCTTCTTAAAGAGGTCCCTAAACCCCATAGAGTCTCAGTCTCCACCTGGGAGTGGAGCCACCATCTATCTGAGCTGCTACTGGCCCATGTTCCTCCCTGGGGTGCCCAGATCACCTCACCCCGCTCCCCCGACATGGCCTTTGGGTGGGGAGTGTGAGTCCATGGTCTGCAGCACCACTATGGAAAGATGTCCAGCGTTTTCCTCTCCTCATGGGCCCCCGACATGTGCAAGCCCCCAGACTCAGCAAAGGGAATCCTTCCCCTCCGTGGCTCACTGTTCCCTTCCTCTGCTATGAAGTTTCACTGCCGCCATCCTGGAAAGCCACCTGCCACAGCTGAGGGCAGAACCAGGGCCGAGTGAAGACTGGTTCTTGGTGCCTCAGCCTGCTCGGATGTGGGCTCTCGTTGAATGTAAGGACTGCTGCTCAAAGCGCCTTTGAGAAGTTCTCGCCCTCACTTCCTGTGGTCACCAGGCTCTGTACTTGTCAGCCCTCCTTTGTGGGGACTCAGCCCAATTCTGGTTTTGCTTTTCTTCTTCTTTACCAAAGCATGTGCCACTAGCTGTCCTTTGGGACACTGTCTTTATGAAACACACACCTGGAATAAAACCACTTCTTACAAGTTCACATGTATCAGCGCTTTCCTTTCAAACCCCCAAGCCTGCCCTTCGCAGCCCTTCCCTGGCCTGGGGACAGTTGGGTCTCACCTGCGTACAAGTGAGACTACACGGGCTCAAGTCCAACCCTGCCCTGCACATGGGGAGACCCCGCAGTGGCCCTGCTACAGGACAGGCCTGGGACTGGAGCCCAGGGATCAGGATGTGTCAGACTGAGCTCAGTCCTCCTGTTGCCTCATTTTGGGACACTGCTGGGCCTTACAAATAAACATCCAGGGAATTCTCCCACTGGAGGTGGCCATTCCAACATTCAGATTTTTAGCCAACCCTCTGTCTTTCCCCTGGAATCCAGGCCTGGCCACTCTGAACTGCCCTTCCCCACTGCTAACATAAGAAGGCAGTGGACAAAATCCAAGCAAGATATTCAAAATAACTCTAGAAAGAGTCCTGCTGGCCTAGACTTGCTTGATTAGATAGCAGATGCTCTGCCTAATGTTTCCATGGAAACCAATTAGAAACCCCCATCATTGCTGTTATCAGAAGCTGAACACATCTAGGTAAAAATAAACGCTTCCTATTACACATAGAAACTGCAGGGGGCAGGTCAGGGTGCCACTACCTCTCCTGGACGCAGCCATTTCGGCCCCAGCTTCTATTTTTCTCAGAGCTTCTAACCTAGGATTCCCTGGAGCTTCTGACTTAGGATTTCCTGGAATTTCTGGCCCCTGGGCATGAGAAGCCTGGAGCGAAGCCCTAGCAGGCAGCAGTCACAGGACCCCATGCAGCATCTAGCTGGGTCTGGACATAGGAAACAAGTCCCTGCAGAAGCCCCTGGCTGTAGTTTCCACCAGTTGCTCTGTGCCTCCTCCCTCTGGGAGCCCAGCCCACTGGCCAGCCCTGCTCAGGCCTCTTGTTGGCCATGCTGGGCCAGCTTCTCTCTGTCCACTGCTCCCCCTCAGCCTTGATGGGCTCTAAAGTTGGCTTCTCCTGAGCCAGGCTTCTCTTGCTGTCCTCTAAGCATGCTTCTCCCACTTCCTTTTCTCGCTGGAACTGAGGCCATTTCCCAGACTAACCCAAAGGGACATTAATTCACAGGCCAGGGTCCCAGTGTCCAGCAAGAGCAGTGCCTGATCCTGGGCCTTTGGGACTTGGTTGCCATTTTGTTTTGGTAGTGCTAAGGAATCATGCCCCAGGTGCTCCTTATACATGGAGCAAGTGGTCTTCGTGCTGAGCACCATCCCCATTCTCTTGGCTTTGATTTTCACAAAGGCTTTCCACAGCCCCTGAGTAGGGTTCTCCCATCTGTATTTGGGAGAACAACATTGCTGTTCTCCAAGGGGTCTGGCACCCCAAGACCTGGGGGATGTGGATGGGGTGTGGTCTGGACAGGAACCAGAACAGACTGGAGTTCATGATGTCCACAGGTGGCTGTGCTCAGTGTAGTTGGTATTTGTGTGTTCTTGTGCTGCGGAGTCAGTGTCCCTCCAGAAAGTGGGAGGGACCCCACCAACTCTCTCATGGTAAGCAGTCTTCACTGCCAGGAACTGAGCAAAGCTCAGAGATGGATCCAAGGAGTGGTCACTCACTCCCGGCCACTGCTCAGCTGCACTGTCTGAGTAACCTGCAGGACTGAGGCTCCAGAGCCATCTGAAGTCAGCTCCCTCCTTCTGAGCCTACTCTGAAGTACAGGGAACAGGAAATGGATGCTACAGACCCCGTCAGCCATGCTGCCCCCTGCCACTTACTAGCTGTGTAATGTGGAATAAATGATTTCTTCTCAGCATTGGTTTCCTGACCTGTAGAATGGGGGCATTCATAACGCTAGAGGATTTTTAAAAAGACTGACTTATTTGATGATTACAAAACACCTGGCCCTTTCCAAATGCTCAGTAAATCTATGTTATTACCATCATTACTAAGCTTTTTCTGAATGTCTGCCACATACCAAGCCCTTTGCATGGGGCGTGACACAGATGCTAAGAAAACAGAAAAGGGACCTGTCATCAAGAGCTAATATTCCAACTGTAGTTGGACAAATAAACTACAGTTTATAAACTATAAATTAAGAACTGTTGCACCACATGATAAAAGCAGGAATCACGAGACCCACAGGAAGGATCAGTGAGTTGCTCTGTCCCTCAGAGAACTCTTGCAGGACAGCTTGAAAGGACATCGTGGGCTATGTCTGCCTGCTGGAAGCAGCAGCCACCCTAGCCAGGCTGGCAGTGCAGCGGGCACTATCCTTGGCGGCCTGGGCTTTTTACCCTGTGCAGTGTCGTGGTGAAGTGGGCCAGTCTGTGACTCAGAACTCTGGAAGGAAGCCATGGAAGCCAAACAGACAGCCCTGGGCCTCCTGGGCATGTGACTATTTCTCCAGGACTCAGTATTCTTCCCTTGGGGAGCGGTGAGACTGAGGCCTGAAACAGAGTGCTGCTTGTCTGGAGAGAAGGTCAGGAAGGTCAGCCGTCAGAAAGCGCCAGGAAAAACATGTCTTCTGCTCACTTTTAGGCGGTCTCTGATCCCCTCAAGCCATCTGAAAATCAATCCCATCTTGCAACAAGTTGTTTTTCAAATAGATGTCTCTCAAGGTGTGGCCCAGAAAACCTGCTCAGAGCCCCTCTAGGTGCCTGGATATGGGTGTGTTCCTGGGCTCTGGCCCGACCTGGCTCATCATCCTCGAGGATAAACAGCTGGATGTAAAATCACTCCGCTGGGCTCCCAGTGTGGACCTGGGTAACAGCCCTTTGAACACTACCTGGGAACGTACCAGAAAGGCAAATTCCATCTCACTTGGACCACTGAACCAGAAGCTCTGCATTTCCTGAGTCCCCAGGGGATTTTGACACATGCTCAAGTTTGAGAGCCATGGGTTAGGTGACGGACATGGGTTCTGGCCCCTGACTGGGGACTGTGGGCCACACCTGGTGCAGAAGGCTCAGGGAACCGAAGCAGTTCTGCTAAGCAGACTGCCTGTGACAGTGGGCGGAGCGGATCTGGCCCAGGCAGACAGTGTGGGCAGGCACGAGGCTGGGTTAAGGGTTGCCCGGAGCCAGCTGCCACACACCAGCCTTGCCTTGTGTGATTTATGAGTCTGTCTCAATGTGAACTACATATGGCTGACTTCATTCTGCCACGCTGGAGGAGCCATTAATCAAGGCATCGGTGCCACCTTCCCAGCCTGCAGCCCGGGTGTACATTTTACCTTATGTCACATGGAAAAGTCCTTTCTATGGATTCTCCATCTGATGAGCTTCATAGCTGGTTCTGCCACTTATCAATCAGACACTGGGTGTCAACTGTCTTAACTTCTTTAATGCTAACCACAACTCTAGCAGGTAGGCGTGTTCAATATCAACCCACTGACACAGTTGGAAATTGAAGCCCAGAAACGTTAGCACAGCTGTCTCCAACCTTCTGGCCCTGGGGACAGGTTTCATGGAAAACAGCAGTGTGTGTTAGGGAATGATTTCGGACTGATTCAAGGGAGCGTGCAGTCTAGCTCCCACAGTTCAGTTGGGTTTGCTGTTCAAGCTCTTAAGCGAATCTAAGGCCCCTCTGACCTGCCAGGAGGTGAAGCTCAGGGGATGATTCGAGGATGAGAAGGAGCTGTAAATACAGCTTATAGTGGCCTGCTGCTTATCTCCTCGGGGGGGCACCCCAGGTCTCAAGACACCAAGTGTCACTTACTAGTGTCAGGAACATTTTGGTTAAACATGCTTACTCAAGGGTATGCAGCTGGTAGGAGGTAGGGCCAGGCTTGAAAGTTGTGATGTGCCCCATGGTTCTGGATTCAAGCCAACCCTGAACTTTCTGAACCGCTATCCCCATATTGCACTTGAGCACACGGAGGCCCCTGACAAAGCTCTCCACGCTCCCTCTGAATGGGGTGGGTTTCCACGTCCAGCCCCTTCCTTGCCTGGCAGGTTCTGAGAAGCCTGAGTGGGAGCAGAGCTGCAGTGGCTGTGCTGTCATCTCACAGATGCTCAAAGGGCTGAACGGCCACAACACCTGGCGTCACAGAGCAGGACACAGGAGCGCGGGACACGTAGACCCAAAGACACGATGTGGTTCCCTGATACAGAGGTAATGGTTGGTGATCAGCTGGCAGTGAGACGCCTGGGTGATCCAGCCCTGGGCCGAGGGCTGCCTGGCTGCACAGCCTGCTCCTCCCCATGTCCCGGACAGAGGTGTTTCCCTGAAATGTCCTCCTGTCATTAAGGTTCGCCATCTCCAGACATTAGCTTTGTGTTTGCTTAGACCTCTGTGTCCCCTGCCCTGTGGCTGCATCCACCTGAGGTGGGGATTCTACAGAGCCCAAGTGGGTTCTCCTATCTTTTTTAAAAAATTAATTTTATTGGTATGTTTTAGATATACATAATGATCACATTCATCATAGGGAATTTGTACTTGTATATGATGTCTTGATTCTTTTTCCCCCTAATCCTTCCCCCTTCCTTCAACCCTTTTTTCCCTCCTTATTTACAAAAGCTTTGTCCCCAGTGTTTTCTTCTATGCTCTTTTATTTCTTTTCCTTCCTTTTCCCTTTCCCCTTCCCTCGTTCCCTGTCTCATTTGAACATTTTCTTGTCATTTCTCAATATCTACTGTATATTTTGATCCTTATTTACCTTTTTGGTTTTGTCACACCAGAGAAACAAGGCAATACTTAGACACATGGGTCCGATTTATTCTCTTAAGAGTATGGTCTCCAGGTGCATCCATGTACCCAGAAATGTCTCAAGGGTATCCTTCTTTGTGGCAGAGGATTACGCCATCACATCCAAAACAAAACAAAACCACATCTTCTTTAGCCATTCGTCCAATGATGGGTATTTGGGCTGGTTCCAAGTTTTAACTATTACAAATTGTGCAGCTCTAAGATGAGTATGCATATATTGCTGTGATGTGATGCTTTTAATTATTTCAGGAAGATACTAAGAAAGGGAAAATGGAACCTCTAGATTTAGTTTTTTGAGGAATCTCCACACTGATTTCCATAATGATTGCATCG